ACTGTAGAGGAGGTTAAGGGGCCACGGGGAGCAGTGAGGGGGTTCTCACACTGTAGAGGAGGTTAAGGGGCCACGGGAGCAGTGAGGGGGTTCTCCCACTGTGCATCTAGACATCTGAAAGGAGAACTTTCAGAGCAATGCTCCTACAACTGTGCAGGAGAGAGCCTGAGGGTGAAGTGTTGTTTTTAATAAAATCTTTAACATTCGGTTTTACCAATAAAGCCTCAGGGGCTAGGTGCTGGGGGGAAAGCCTGCCAACTCAGAAAGGCAGAGAAAGGACCCAGCTGACCTTACTCCTTAGCCAATGTCCCAGAAGAAAAGGCAGCTCTTCTCCACACCACATCAAAACCCTCACACTAAAACATCTCTCCCTTCTACTTCCTGTGTCTCTCTATCCCTCCTCCTCACTTCCCCTTACTCTCTCTGTTTTTTTTTTCCTATGCTCACTCCCTGTCAACTGGTTGCTTGGTCCACCTCTTGACCTATGGCTGACTTTCTTTAATCCTATTTACAATACGCAGAAAGCTCTTACATTAAAGACGTGTGCTAGGGTTGAGCCACACCACAACTAGAAACAGGCTTTTCCAGTAAATAACACAACCTCTGGGTTCACACTGTTATCAGCTATCTTGCATCAGTGAAGTTACAGAGAGAAGTGAGAAGGATCTGGGTAGAAATGGCCACTCCCACCCCAGCAGGAGGGAGGACACGGCTAGGGCCTGCATGAAAGGCACACACTAGCCAGGAGCTCATGAGGCTGAGCTGGAGACAGGCAACAACGCTCACCTCCTCACCACAGGCTTCCGGAAAGACTAGCCAGGGGATAGAGAAGGGCTAACCCAAGGCTCTTTTCACATCAGCGAGTGGGCATGGACCAGGGGAGGAGTCAAGTGAGTGAGGTGGACATTTACGTGTGATCCGGCTCACACGGGCTGTATTGCAGGACTGTCGCCCTCCCGTGGGCATGGAGACCAAGCAGAGGGAGAAAAGGATCTTACAGGGGACCTGGATAAGGAAGCAGGCACCATCCAGCTGTCAGACTGAAGCCAGGAGCTAGAAAATGAAACACAGCAGAGTGCAGACACCCAGCAAACAGGTGTATCGAGGTTCTTGAGTGGCAGGCAGTGACAGATGGCATCTAGTCAGGAAGAGAGAATCAGGGCCTGTAAGGGCAGAGGACATGGCTGGGATTTTGTGACCCTAGTTGGGTGGTCTTCTCAGTTTGGGACAATGGATTCTATGTGGATGTCTGTAATTTTAATGTGTGAGTTACCTGGTGTGAGGCCGGGGAAATGGCTTGCTGGGTAAAGATGCTTCCCACGAAGCCTGCTGACCTGAGCTGGAGCCCCAGGGCTCACACAGAGGAAGGGAAGACTGACTCCCACACTGTGACACCTGACACCCGGAATTCAGACACCAGGGCCTTCTTAAGAGTGGGGTCTACAGAGCACCCTCACAACAAGAGCAGACAGGTCAGGACAACATCTTAGCCTTTAACTCGCTCTCAGTGCCCCCACAAGCAACTGCCTAGTCCCCCTAGGACAGAGGACTCTAGGACAGGTCCAGAATATTCTGATAAGTCTGGATAAGTAGCTTTATGTGATAAGAACAAAACAGACTTGCCAGCAACTAACAATACCGTGCTGGGTTCAGAAGCCACGATGGTGGTTGGGCAGAGGACCTAAGCCCCTTCGCTCTTCTTTTTTTTTTTTTTGTTTTTGTTTTTTTTTGTTTTTTTCCGAGACAGGGTTTCTCTGTGTATCCCTGGCTGTCCTGGAACTCACTCTGTAGACCAGGCTAGCCTCAAACTCTCAAACTCAGAAATCTGCCTGCCTCTGCCTCCCAAGTGCTGGGATTAAAGTTGTGCGCCACCACCGCCTGTCAAAATGTGTAGCCCGGGCTGGCCTCGAACTGGTGATCCTCCTGCCTCTGCCTCCTTCAGCAAATCCTATCGGTGTGTGCCACCACTACCGGCCACTCTTCTATTAAGAGCCAAGCAATCACATAACCTGTCTTTCGGAGGTCACCTGAGCTGTCCTAGAACTTCCAATTAGAGCCAGCCCAGGGGACAGTGAGTGAACCAACGAGGTTGTGGTCCCTGTCCTGGGTGTGGAAGGAATGTGCACATGCCCCAGTAGCTGTCTAAATGCCTTCACAATCTTCTGGGGGCAGAATGGAGAGGCTGACATATATGTGAGGCCAGGTTAGACTGAAGGACCAGGTAAGATGTTGGCATTCCTTATGGTAGGTGGAACGGGTCAGCTGCAAAGGAGTGTAAGCACGTCTCAATCGGAGAAAGGTCCGTGAGAAGAAAAGGAATGTATCTGAGGGGCTGGGGCAAGATCGCAAGTTGCGGGCCAGCCTGGGTTATACACAGAGACCTAAGAACACAGCTAGACCCAATCTCAAAAAAAAAGAAAGGGGGTGGGGGATGGAATTTACTTTGCAGAACTTTCTTCTGAATTTCCCACTTTAACAAGAACTTTAGTGTGCACCCCAATTACACACATAACAAAGCAAAAGCTGGTGACCAGGTGGACAGCAGAAACAGTGAGAAGAAGTGGGCCTCTGCTCTCTAAGAGCAAACAAAAGCCACACTTCCTGCTCTCCCTCTTTGGGCCAACATGAGAACTCAACCATTAGCTCACAAGAATAAAGGGCTGAGCCAGGCAGTGGTGGCCCACGCCTTTAATCCCAGCACTTGGGAGGCAGAGGCAGGCGGATTTCTGAGTTTGAGGCCAGCCTGGTCTACAGAGTGAGTTCCAGGACAGCCAGGGCTACACAGAGAAACTCGGGCTTGAAAAAACCAAAATAAATAAATAAAATAAAGGGCTGCAGTTTCAGAAGCCACACCACCACACAGGTAACTAAAATGCCACCTCAGGCTGTACCCTATCGTGCAGACAGCAGATCTTCCAGAGCATCAGTAGCTGATGGCTCCTGAGTTGACAGGTGCACACACACACCTTCTTTCTAGTTTCAGACAAGGGACAGCCTGAGAACCTGGCACCTGAGGACACAGGTCTGTCATCCCAGGTCTTCAGAAGGAGGCAGCACTTCGGTGACTGCTTAGCATCCGTGAAACCCTAGGTTCAACCCTACGTAGTGCACGCGGAGAACGGGGACCGAAAACAGTTCAACCTACAATGCACTTTAGGTCAAGACGGACAAGCAAGGTTCCATCTCTAGGACCCACATGGAGGAAGAAGTTATCCTCCGACCTTAACGGGAAGCCTAGTATACATACACACACACAATAAGTTAATTAGCCGACCAGTTAATTTTTAAAAGGTCTGGGGACATAGCTCAGTGGTAGAGTGCATAAGGTCCTAGGTTCAATCAACAGTACTGCCACAGACAGACGGACACACACAGACACATACACACACACAATTAGCCGGGTGGGGACATAGCTCAGTGGCAGAGTGCATAAGGTCCTAGGTTCAA